TCAAATTTCTAAAACCATACGATTTTTGACAACATCAAGCTTTCTATTTTTCTAGATTATTAGCCTTCCTAGAAAAAAACTGAAAAAAATAAACCAGAGGGACTGACTTAAGAAGGACAGTATGGTTAAGCAAATTCCGGGGGGGAGAGCAAAAAAATATTTAATTTACCATATCTCAAAGAATAATCATCATAGCAAAAAACGGTTTCCGGCATTTTACTCCTCAGGTCAAGGCCTTTCCAATGACATAATCTTTACATCAGAGTTTACAAAAACTTATAGCACGTTTTGGTGACGTCATCAATTATGACGTCATAATCCGACATTTGGTCACAACTTCTAAATTAAAATAAACTGGAGAACAAAGAAAGCTCATCTGCCAAACTTGGTTCAGAAATATATAAACCAGGCAAATATAGCCTTCATGAAACATTAGGGGGGTGGTTTGGCCCCTACGTGAGAGTATATAAATGTACGCGTTTGAAGTGAAAATCAACTTCCGAAGAGGCGCAAACGTATCCGATCGATCCTACCGGTGGCGAAAAAACATAGACGAAAACGCATCAACGAAAACGTGTGCGTATGCTGGTCCACTGGTGTGAATCGGCCTAAACACATTTCCTTCAAAAATTGTAAAAAGGAGCCTTCATAGCAACCTTAAATTTCGGAAATTTAAGGGGAGGCGGCGTGGCCTAGTGGTTAGGGCGCTGGATTTGTAATCCGTTGGTCCCGAGTTCAAATCCTCCTCCCTGCCACTGGATGGATTTGTGTTTGGTGGTCCCAGATTCAACTCCTCCACGCTTTGTAAATAGCAAACTGGTCACTCTTCCGCCAACTGGGAATTTAACAAGTTTCTGTTTAATTTACAATATTTGTTTGCTTATTTTTCAGTGTCCACAATTAGTACGGCAGTGCTAAACACTTTGACACTTAAATAAAAAAAATGGCTTTGAAACCCCTCCCGAAACGTTTTTAAACATTGCCAAACTTTCCATTATGCAATGCTTATCACAATTCGAAAATAATAAGATGAGGATCACCGAGCTCGGTATTTAGTTACAAGAACTAAGGGTACTTTCAACAGCTTTCACTACTGTTGCTATTGTACCCTATTTTCCCAAAAAGATTCGATTAGTGGTTCACCAGATAATCGAGCATTTCTGTGATACCAATATTGAAGTATCACTTGAGAACCAGAGGTTTTATTTATCCGTTAGAGTATAGCTTTTGGAAAAGTGCTGCAAGCTGTCGCCTGACTCCTTGATGTTGATTCGTACCTTATGACAAAATCTGTACTAAAAAAATAAGTTTCCACTTACTTTCCAAACTGAATTGTCACGTTATCTCCAATGAGCATAAACGGTGCCCAGTCGGCAACCTCGGGAAAGCCGTTGCCTCTCATCCACTTCATGGCCTCGTGAAGAGATTCACTGGCACTTTCTCCATCAGCAAGGTGCTTGTAGAAACACCTCATAAGCTGTTCTGTTGCTTTGTCTCCTAGCGCCCAGCGTGCCACCAGCACTGAACGTGCACCGGATCCTAAGAAAGCTCGAGCAATTCCAACAACTCCTTCAGCCCTGATCTGCCCGCGTCCACTGTGACAGCAGCTAAGTACTACAAGCTTCGCTCGTAGTTGAATTCGGGAAATGTCGGACGTAGTCAATAGGTAATCGTTTTCGTCAGGAATCTCAGTAACAGTTGTCGCAGTTGGCGCAAGGGCAATCTCTCCTCTTTCAGCATTGCCATGTGCAGCAAAGTGTACCAGACTCACGCAGTGTATCATGTCAAGAACAGCTTGCTTTGTTGCCTGTTCTCCTAGCAGAGGTTGAACGCCCATCAGTTGTCCAACCATCTTTGCTTCCGCTCTTGCAAATTCCAATGGTTTGAAGTTTTCAACACTTCCTCTGTAAAACACCCGACCAACCTTGGGATCACCCACAACCAGTGCGCCAGTCTCACTGTGATATTCGGCTGGACTGTCCTGGATGAGCTTTAGAGTTGTCAACGAAGGAACGATGCGGAGCCTTAAAGTCTCTGATAAATACTTCCCATTTGCGTCCTGTAATGCCGCAAATGGAACTTTGTACAAGAAGCGATGAGGAACAATGATGATTTCAGGCTCCTCATTGCCAAGTAAGTCAGCCACAGGGCTGATGAGCATTCGGTAACACAAAGTAAGGGCTGATTCGTAATGTTGGCCTTCCCCGTCGTCTTCCTCAACAAGTCGTGGAGCTGCATCGCTATCTTCCCGGGATGATTTTAGTTTTGGTTCCACACTATTTAAAGATCGATCTTCACAATCCTCCTCGGGTAAAATGCCAAAACTACGGAAGCTTTTGGAAAAAAAGTCTTCCAATTTGGGAACTAATCCGCCACAAAATATGTCTTCATTTGCTGTTATTTGACGGAAGTGAATGACCCCGCTTGTCTTGAGAATCCAAAGAAATAAGTAATGAGCATAATAAGTAATGTACAGACAAGCACAATTCGTTTCGTTTCTCATAATGTTTTCAATACCGATCCAAGATTGCGGATTAGACGACATTTGCTTGTTTCCAATTGAATATTGATCTGCCATCAAGTCTGCTAAAGCTCTAGCCCGTCCAAGCTCTTCAGCGTAAAGGGCATCGTTATGATTTCCAGTGGAACAAAACAATACACTGAGGATATGGTATGGAGAAAGGTACACGTCTGAAAACGAAATCTTAAATTGATCGTTATCTTGAAGAAAATTTCGCAAATGTTCGCTTTTTTTAATGCTCAATTGCAAACAGTTAACTGCTTCCTGGATCTTTCCTTGTAATAACTTTATTAAGCCTAGATGATTTAGACACTGAAACTCTTTCTCAGCATCTTCAATATCTCGAGATATCGAAAGAGATTTTTCAAGATATTTTGTAGCTTTGCCATATTCACCAAGACATACAAACACAACTCCTAGGATCAAGTAAGTTGCTGCTTCTCCGTTCCGATCACCTATTTCTATTGTCATCGCAAGGGCCTTTTTTAGATAGTCTTTAGCTTTGACATATTCACCAAGAGATTGAAACACACTTCCAAGATTGCTGCAAATTCCTGCTTCTCCATTTCTATCACCAATTTCTCTGTCGATCGCAAGAGCCTTTTCTAAATATTCTTTCGCCTTGATAGGTTCACCAAGAGATTGAAACACATGTCCTAGGTTTCCGTAATCTGCTGCTTCTCCTTGTCTGTCACCAATTTCTATTCTGATCTTAATTCCCTTTTCCAGATATTCTTTAGCCTTGACATATTCACCAAGAGATAGAAACACAGTTGCTAAGCTTCCGTAATCTGCTGCCTCTCCCTTCCTGTCACCAATTTCTATTCTGATCGCAAGTGCCTTTTCTAGGTATTCTGCAGCCTTGGCATATTCACCAAGACACACAAACACATTTCCTAGGATCCCGTAATCTGCTGCTTCTCCGTTCCGATCACCAATTTCTATTCTGATCGCAAGGGCCTTTTCTAGATATTCTTTAGCCTTGATATATTCACCAAGAGATTGAAACACATGTCCTAGGTTTCCGTAAGCTGCTGCTTCTCCATTCCGATCACCAATTTCTATTCTGATCGCAAGTGCCTTGTCCAGATATTCTTTAGCCTTGATATATTCACCAAGAGATTGAAACACAGATCCTAGATTTCCGTAGACGTTTGCTTCTCCATTTCTGTCACCATTCTCTAAGTAGATAACAAGGGCTTTTTCCAGATATTCTTTAGCCTTCATATATTCACCAAGCGATTGAAGCACAACTCCTAAGTCTCCGTAATCTTCTGCTTCTTCCTTCCTGTCGCCAATTTCTATGCTGATTGTAAGCGCCTTCTCTAGATATTCTTTAGCTTTGAAATGTTGACCAAGATATTGAAACACAGTTCCTAGGTTTAAGTAAGCCCTTGCTTCTCGGTACCTGTTACCAATTTGTATGCTGATCGCAAGTGATTTTTCCTGGTATTCTTTGGCCTTTCTATAATTACCAAGACATTGAAACACAATTCCCAGGTTTGCCCTATCTTTTGCTTCTCCTTCTCTGTCGCCAATTTCCACTCTGATGACAATTGCTTTGCTTAAGTATTCTTGAGCTTTGGCATATTCATTAAGCCAAAAAGAAAAAGTCCCAACTTTTCCATATGCAGTTGCTAATCCCTGTCTGTTCCGAGTTGCTGTCATGATACTGATTGCTCGTTCATAAAATAGTTTTGCCTCTGTGCGTTTACCCTGACGTTCATATATTTCTGCTACTTCTATGGCAAGCGCCCCTTCTGTCGTTACTTCACCAAGTATGCGGTATACCAAAATAAGTTTCCTGCCGTATTTTATCGCATTTTTGTAATCGCGGATAAGACGGTACGCCTTAAATGGTGTTTGATAGATGAAATTCTCTATTACTCTGAAATGTGGCTCTTGTCTCAGCACCACTTTATTCAGAAAAATCACACATTCTTTGCACAACTCGATTGCTTTTAGACCACGACCGGTGTTGAGAAGGAAATGAGCAACAAGTATTCCTATGAAGATGGCGGCTATGTTATCCATGATTGCGTCCTGTTTTCTGAGTCCTTTTAAAACAGATAAGCAAAACAAAACACTAATGAAATCGTTGCAAAGGAGAACCTTTCTTCCTAATATTTGCCTCATTACTGAGCTTAAGCGATTCATGATCAGTTTCTGATTAAGGTACAAACCCATCACCTGTGAATATTGAAAGGGCGTGGCATCATTGACTGTCCCAAAACATCTTAACCCAGCCCGAATTTATTAGATACGTTTTTTTGGTGATCCTGGTTTAAAATAAGATCATAGCTTATAAAGGAATAAAAAAATAAACTTTTTGATTCTTTCCTTTGATTGTTCTCGATGCCTTGTTGAAAGTGAAAATATGTATGACTATGTACGCTCATTCTTGACCTTGGTGCATAAATAAACGAACAATTATTCTTGTCACAAGGTCTGAAAAATTTTGTAAACGAAGCTTTCGACTGTATCGCACAGTCTTCATCAGCGATTAAAGTGAGCTCACGTTGTCACGTGAATGCAAATTGTTCCTTTATTGAAAATATGTACCTTCGCGTCCCGATGAAAGGCAACTCGTAAAATGCTTTGTTTGCGACAAGAAGCAAGCAAAAGTAAACTACTGATGTTGTGGGTAATCTTAAATGTGAAACAAAACTATCACAGTTTATATGTACACATCTTTGCAACATCTAGCAAACTAACTCTTCCACAGTTTATAAGTTTATTTAATTCAAAATATTTAGCTTTACGAAACAGATGGCATGTAGTGGTACCGGGAAAATTTGTCAGTTTTATTTTTTAGGCTTAAACGAAGGACATAAAAATTACAACCTTGATAATCATTAAGGTTTCCATTTATTTTACAATTCTGAATCAACTTTAAATACAAACAAGTCTAATCGAGTGAACTGGTTCTGAACACGACTTAAATTAGGCTCACTTACTGTTCTGGAAGACGTCAAAATAGGACTGAATAAAAGGATGGATCGACCTGTTCTTACAACTGTGGCGTTACCTTGAAAATAATTGAACAGACGCAATTAATCGGTAGGGATGGTGGACGGCGGGGCTAAAGTACAGGTCACAGGTTACAAATCACAGGTCACAAAATACAATAATTATGAATTTGCAGTCTTTGCAAAAGTTTGCAGAATTTGCAAAAGTTTGAAGAATTTGCAAAAGTTTGTTATACATCTTCTAATAACGAAAGGTTTTGAAAACATTTCAGAATAAAGAGTAGCGAGTAAAAACATGAAGTTTCGGCGATCACATGTCACCATTATCAAATGCAAATTACTATGTGTTGGGTAAGGTTATATAAAGAATATAGAGTGGGAAAATACATTATAATAAATGAGGTGGGGATAAACAAAAGAATGAGAAAAATTTAAATAAAAACTTTCGCTGGAATGGAGTCATTTTGAGTGTTCAGAGTCGGACTCTTTTTCCTCATAAAAAGCATTTCATAAATAAGGCACTCAAACTTTCCACGGCATTTCTTTAAGGTGGTAAACTGCTCGTGAAGATTGTTAGATGTTTGGCTGTGTTTGTCCTTTAGGTGTTTACCGATGACGGAATATTTATGCTCCTCGATGCGCAGGTGACGATGACGGCTCGTGTAGCCTATATAATTCGTATTATGCAAACGAATCACAATGAAATTCATACACAACGCATTTTTTTCTCATTCTTTTGTTTATCCCCGCCTCATTTATTCTAATGTATTTTCCCACTCTATATTCTTTATATAACGTTACACAACACATGATAATTTGCATTTGATAATGGTGACATGTCGTCACCGAAACGCAATGTTGATATACATCTTTCGCTAACGATATTCTTTGTTTGATTCAGGCAGGGGAACCTATCCTATAGCACACAAAAGAAGTTGCTATCTGGGCTCATTTTATAAAGTACATTTCGGTCGTCGATAAAACCAGGAACATGGAACATTCCGGAACATCCCGGAACATCGAATAATTATCATAATTACGCGAAAAATATGTAAAATGAAATTTTAAAAAATTAAATCAAACAAAAATAAACTGGTATCAGCTCGGAAAATAGAAACAAAACAAAAACATAAAAAAGGGAAAAAGAAAGAAAAGTGAAAGTGACTGCAATGAGTTAAGGCTAGCAACTAAGAAGACTAATCCATTCCTTCCAGCCGTTAACCGTCAGTTTAGTCACGTGACTGTCCTTTATTCCCAGATTTCGTTCTTCACAGAAAACTAAGGTGGTGGCGTTCGAACTCATTAATCAGACCTAAATGTATGGGTACACGAGTGTGATTCCTTTATTCAATTCATTACGTCAATACAAAGATATGCATATACACGATTTCTCAT